AAAATCTGGAATTTGCTCCCACAAGATGTAGTGGCCATCAACTTGGACGGCTTTAAAATGAGTTTATACAAATTCATAGAGGATGAGGCGGTCAGTGGCTACTAACCATGATGTCTGTGTATTACCTACACTGTTGGAGGCAGTGTGTCTCTGAATACTAGTTGTTGGGAATCACAAGTTGAGAGAGTGCTGTTGCACTCAAGTCCTGTTGTGGGCTTCTCATAGGCATCTGGTTGTCCACTATTACAACAGGAAGATGGCCTGTATGATGGACCTCGGTTTGATTCAGTGTGGCTTTTCTGAGGTGCTTATGTAAACTGCATGTTTTTGGGAAGCACTCCAAGTCATCATCTTTTTCCCCCTTTTCTTTTTCCCCTAAGATTAGGCAACTTTGGCTCAATTTACACATGCATGTTTGCCACTGGATGACCACAGCATCAAGAGACTGAAACACAAGATAACTTTTCATATCAGTTGCAATGTTTTCCCCCAATGAAACTAAGCCACACGTTCAGTTGTACAAATGTGAAGAAACCAAGTGATGGGCAGTGCCGGCCTTGGCAATATCATGCCGTGTGTGAGGCTAAAATCGTGGTGCCTTCCTAAAGCCAGGTTAAGGGAAGCAGGGGCTTTAGGAAGGAGGGGTGAGGCTCTGCCAAGATCCTAGAGCTCTCACATCACCTTCCCAAAGCTAGTCTCTCTAGTCTTGGTGCAGCATTCGGACCATGACACCACACTAGCTCTCATATATTGTTATATTGTGACTATAGGCTGATCTGGTCTTGAATTAAACATTGTTGATTATTTTGTGCCCTTTAAGTGCTCTGTTTCTACAGTTTACATATTTATTGTTTTAATACTGCTTAACTATATATATGGTGCCATTTATAGAGTGACCAGTATAGACAGTGAGCAAAATATACTGTTATGGGCTAGTGGGGGAGCAGGAGTCCACTGATAGAATGCTGTCTGAAGGCTCCCCAAAATGTGTAACTGGCATGTACACTCGGAGATGAATAGTGTCTGTAGAAACTAACCTACACATGGACACGGACTTCACAAATCATTGCTACTTTGCTTCCCCAGGCTCTTGGACACAATAATGAATTCATGGCGTAAGTGGAGCTCTAAATTCAGTATCCATTGCTATTATCATGCTCCTGGCAACTAGAGCAGGGTAAGCAAGCAACCCCTATCATGGTACCATTCATTTACTATGAGATGGCAGCAAAGACTGGCAGTTCCTTGCTGCTTTTCCAGTATATGCCACCTATATGTGTGTTTATTATACCATTAAAAAAAAAACCAAAACCCACACACATCGTTTTATAACACTTGCTTTTTCCCAACGCCAAACTCATAGGCTAAGGCCCACAGATATTATTGCCAGATGAAGCAAGCACAAATAAAAGGGTGATGTGACAGAAACATCAAAAGGTGTGGTTTCTCTCCTTCCTTCATAGTACAAGAATTGTGTCTGAAAGCAGTTGCAGTGTCAGCGATAATGGCTTGTCTCAAAGAAACTTGCTATTGCTTTGCTAGAATGTACTTTTAAGTCATTGGGTTATATTTCCAAGCTTAATGAATAACTGTGAGATATGCAGGTTGCTATCCATCATGATGTCAATGGAGATAATGCTGCAGTGCCTCTTAGCATAGAAATACCAGATAAGGACTCCTGTGAATGAAAAGAAACCAACACAGCACTGTTGTGTCATCCGTGGTTAAGGAGGATGGGGATAAATTGTATCTATTGCCTCTTTAAATGTCCCCCTCCCCGCCCCCCCAGTGAGTGCTCTAAGAGGCACTGGCCTCTGATCAAGGTTTCCAGTTCAAGGTGCTGGTGGCTTTTCTATAAAGGCCTACATGAATTGGGGCTGCTGGTTCCTGAAGAAATGCCTGCTCCTGCACCAGCCTGCCTGTACACGGATAGCCATCTGATGATAGCATCCCCAAAGTGCTCCTGCTGTCTGAAGTGAGGTGATGGATGACTGGGAAAGAGGCACATATGGTTCAGATAGTAAGCAGTCTATACATGGAATAATGAAATAATAATAATAATAAGGCTGTGGTGTCCTGACACTGGATTTCTTGTCAGGCACTTGGAATGCTCATCTTTTCAATGCTAGGCAAACACCTTATTGTTCCAGGGAGGCTTTTGAATTGCTTTGAGATTGTGATTTTTAGTACTGCCTTTAATTGCTCTTTGAGGTTTCAATTGCATGCTTTTTTTTTGTTACTGTATTTTTTTTTTTATTTTTTTTTGTAAACTGTGCTAAAACTGGATGTTGTAAGGTGGTACAGAAACTCCTTAACACATGATGGGGGCTATGCTCTGCCTCTACAGTAGGAGACGGTAATGCTTCTGAATAGTGATTGCTGGGAACTACAGCTTGGGGTCCTGCTTGCAAGTTTTCCAAAGGCATCGGGGTGGCCACAGTGAGACCAGGATGCTGAACTAAATGGTCCATTGGCCTGATCCAGCAGACTCTTCTTAACCCACTCTCCCATTTTTTCCCATGGTGAGAACAGATTAGATCAGGCATAGGCAAACTCAGCCCTCCAAATGTTTTGGGTCCTGTTAGCTAGGGATGATGGTCCTGTTAGCTAGGGATGATGGTGATGGTAGGGAACCTTTTGTTTTTCCTCATGAGCAACCTTCAAAGGGTTGCATGTTGGCCTGACCTGAGGCAAATGTGGGCAGAGTGATGGATGTGACTCTTACCTTTGTACAGTAAGCTACAGCTCCAGAAATACAAAAGCCAGAGGTTCTCTCCCCACCACCTCACAATTTTCCCATCCTCTATGCAAAAAAGACATCACCACAGTTCAAAGGCACATTCCAGCAAGACAAAAAGGCCTTGTGAAGGGGTGTGGCCTGAGGACTCCTGAGGGTTTGATACAGAGAGGCAGGCAGGGGGAGAACATAATATTAGAAATTCAACTAGAGTGTATACCAGAGACTCAATCACTGTTATTCTCATGCCTGTTTCATCCCCCCCCCCCCCCGTTTTAGGCACAGATGTCTCAACACAGGACATCTTGCATCTTGCGCTCTTTTTACTGCCTGGCACATAAATGGTAACCTGATAATACATGAAAGAGATTTGGCACCTTTGCTGTTTAGCATAAGCAATGTTATTGTTACAGGCCCTCTAAGCTGTGACTCAGGCATCTGTTCTAGGGAGAGAATCCTTGGGCATTTATGAAGTTACGCTTTGACCACTTCCTGAATTTGTGACTCTTGAACCTCAGCAGCTCAGGAGTTCAGAAAGGGCATACCACCGAAAACTGCAACCCCCCATGCTTTCTGAATGACACATTCAGATGTAACATTATATTTAACTTACAGTTTTGTCCAGCTAACTGAGGTATTAATTATGAGATAACATAGCAAGCCCTGATCTGATGTGAGCCCAGAGATCTCTATCTGCAGAATAAATCTAAAAGATATTGAATTAAGGCAATAGATCTGTTTCCAGCAGGATTCTTTGAGCCCCTAAGGCCATTTCCCATGCTTCATTGACAAAAATTGGTATTAAAATCCTACAAAGCTGAGACGGGGAGCCTGTGGCCCCCCCAGATGCTGTTGAATTACAAATCCCAGCATTTCTGATGACTGGCAATGCTATCTGGGGCTGAAATTCAGCATGACCTGGAGGGCCTCAGGTTCTTCATCCTTGGCATAAGCATACATGAACTTCTAAGGCTAAGGTCATTATCTCCTAATACAAACTATAACAGAGATTTAAAGTCTGCACTGCTGCTCACATTGATCAATTGCCCTGGATGCTAAAACTGTAGGGAGTGCTGGAGGATCAGATGAAGAGCAATTTTGTTGGAGTCCCAGTTCTAAAGAAGCCCCTAAATGTGTCTTGTTGCAGATAGAGATGGGCTGGCACTGGAATTTCCAGGCCAGCAGATGAACCTGATGGGCATTAAGCAGTGGTGCATTATAGGACTTGCCATGAGAAAGGATGCATCTCTAAGCAAGGGAAGCAAAAAAGCTGTCTTGTATGGTGAAAAGCCAGTTTTGCTAGTTTTCTTTTCTTAAAATCAGCTACTTACTGTTTCTTACAAGTTAAATGAATGGATAAATTATTTAGATCAGGACATAATAATTTTCAGGTTTACTGAATCTGAAAAAAAACCCACAAAGCCTTTATGTAATTTCCTTGAATGCAAAGATGTGAAATGCACAATAATCAAAGTAGAATGAATTTAAAAATAAGAAATGAACCTGAAATGGCAGAACATTGCTGACAAGTTTTTGTGTGTGTGTTTTTGACGGCAAGGGGGGAGATGAGCAGGACACTTTGTACCACATGGCAGGGCATTGTAGCATGGATGGTTGGGAGTACAGTGAAAGAAAACCAAACCTTTATATACTTCTGTAGATATGCATGTATACTGGATATGCCATCCTGAGCATCTCTTTTATTGTACTAAAAGGAAAAAAGTAACTTGGGACTTTTCTAGATGGAGGCAGGGAAGTAGAGGTCCAACCAGCATCAAAAAAGGAAGAAAAATAATTATGGAGATCTATGGTTAACCAGAAGAACTTTAAATATGTGTCATGTGACAACTGTGACAGTACCAAGAGAGATGTTCATGTCCTCAAATGCTGCAATTCCCTCCTTTGACAGTTCTATAGAAACACAACACATCCTTGGATTAGACAAGACAAATTAACCAATAAGGTTATCAACAGCTACTACCTGTGACAACTATGCTCTATTTCCACTGCTGGAGGCAATATGCCTCTGCACACCAGTTGCTGGGCATCAGAAGGAGAGTGCTGTTGTGTTCATGTCCTGAATGCGGGCTTCGATTGGTATCTGGCTGACCGCTGTGAGAACAGGATGCTAGGCTACATATCCAGCAGGCTCTTCTTATGATCTTATCCTTAGAGTCAGTGTAGCAACTACACATGAGGGTACGGAAGGAAGTGTGGCAAGAGGAAGGTTAAAAGGCAATTAAAAACAACAAGCAGACAGCACCATTTTTAAATAATTTTATAATTTCCTCATGAACTTAGTTTGTGAATAAAAAAAAAGGAAAGAAAAAAAACTGAACAAAAGTGTTTATATTATCAAGGCAAAGTTGAATATATAACACAATTTCTTTGCAATTCATTATCCTGTCAGTAACATGACTCCATCAATAAAACACATACAAGTTGAAGGCAGCGTGCGCACTTGCATCACAGACATCTATTATCTCCCGCTGCTGCTCCTTCCAGAAGGAACTCAAAGTATGCCAGACTATATATGCAAAGCTCATCTCCTCCTCTGTTAAAGTGCAACACATCACTTTCTGAGTAGTAAAAGATCACTTTCTGTAGTGTATGCGTGAGAGGGTTGTGTGTGTGTGTGTGTTGGGGACATCCTACAATTTTTCACTCCCTTTGACAGCCCGCTGTGCTGCCTTCACGAAAAATTTGTTAAAACGGATCCTGGTGATCTAAATTCAGCATGAGGTAAATGAGAGGGAAGTAGCAATACTGTCCTGGCAGGGATGAATGAACATGATGTTACATCAGCTTTAAGTCATGCCAGTTGATAATAGTGTCTTCTGGATACAACTCCATTTACTTACATGGAACCTAAAGAAGAACACGAACTTTTGATATGCATAAATAAGCTTAGATCTAGCATACCAAATATCACTGAAGGACAGAAGACTAGCTGAGCAAAGCAACACCTGTGAACTATTTGTATTTAGGAGGTGCCCACTGAAACCAGTATTAAGCCAAATCCTGGGTTCACTCAGCAGGGTTTCCCAAACTTTGGCTTCCAGCTGTTTCTGGACTACATTTTCCATCATCTCTGACCACTGGTCCTGCTAGCTAGGGATTATGAGAGTTGTAGTCCAAAAACATCTGGAGACCCAAGTTTGGGAAACCCAGGTTTACCAGGTGGAAATGATTGAGAGAAATGATTTAGCCATGAAAGATGTCTAAAAAACAAATTAAAGGAAGAATATCAATTAAGCTTGGCTTAATATTTATATCCCATATTAACAAAAATGTATCCCAGCATTCTCAACTTTGACTTCTGCTGCAGCAATGGACAATGAATTAAATAGACAACAGCACAGGAACATTGGTAACCTCAAACTGAAAGGGTTACTGATATCCCCCAAATTTACCAGGATTTTTTAAAAAGGTACATTCATGTAAAATAAATTAAGATACGGCTAGTAGCAACAGTATTTATGATATGCAGATTTATGTTGGCCATACCCTTTAAATGTAAATTCAAAAGTTTCCATCCCACTGGTGCAGAAAAGAATGGCAAGCCCTTTGTTGTAAGATTCTGAATGCACATTTTCAAAAGTGGGTACATACAAAATAACCACACACAAATAAACTGGGACCGACATAAATGAAGGTGCATTAAGAAATACTAAGTAGTTTGTGTGTAAAAAATAGAGACTAAAAGAGTGTGCAAAAATGCTGCAATGCATCCCTTCTATTTAAATTTGCAGTATTAAAGCCCCAGAGATATCAATGGAAAAAGTAGTTTCTAATGCTGCCCCTTCCTGTTTTTGAAAGGTCATCCATACATTACAGTATTGGGAGAGGGATAAAATCAGGAGTTAATAACATTGCTAAGAAGGCCACACTGGTTTGGTCTTCCTTGGTCTGTCAAAGGCAATTGAAAGGTACCTTGATCCTAAAAAATCCATTTCCTTATAAAACTGGGAGGAGTTGTCCAGAACTTTGCCTTTTCATATTTTGAATTCCTTTGGATGATACATTTAATTTTTTATATTTTTAATACACAACTTTTTTCATTTCTACTTCTATCTTTTTTTTATTTAAAACTGGACAACAGACACACATTGTCGGTAATTGTCCCAGCCAGAGGACCACACAGACAATAATTGACAAGCAGAGAACAAAACAGGAAAATAAAAAATAAAAAATATACCCCTGAAAAAGGAAAGGGAAAATACCAATGATGACAGGGTTACAGCACTCGCCACACACACTGAAAAAAGTCAGTATTCTTATGTTTACGCTTTTGACACTAAAAAGTTTGGAAATGCTTTTATTTTATTTTTTAAAAAAGGTCAACAGACACAGCCATTTTGTTCAGAAGGATAACGGCTTTCCTCTACAAATGGAAAAAAGTTAAAAAATATTGTATTATAAAAACAGCACCTGCTGCACTGACAAGACTGAGTGATTGGCATGAGAAGAGTTTTGTCTTGTCAATTCTGGCAGCTCTCAGCCACCAATTGCCTGACTTCCCAATTCCACTCCCACCACTAGGGGCAGTGTTATTAAATCAAGAACTTCCTGTTTTCCATGACTATTACTGCTTAGTTCTCTGAAGTAGCACCTTCTAGCTCCAACTGTTTTGACATTTTCACTCAGGTCACTCCACGAAACCATGCTAGGTTGCTAGCATAGAGGTGTGAGATAGGAGGAAATCAGTGTTCCATTAACTTAGTGTTTCAGATATAAGAATTTTCCAAAACAGAATGCTCCCTGAATGTTAGAATAGAGAAAAACAGATGCCTAAAACTCCCATACTACATATTTCACAGTGATCTTCTAAAATACACTGAGAAGACCCAAATACACTGGTATATGATAGCACACACTCTAACCATTTCGTTCGGTCTTGGATTTTTAGAGTTTGGCATTTTTTTTTAAGTGAAAGCAATATCAAAAGGCAATCATCATAGCAGACCCCAAACATGAAAAAGACATTTCACTAAGATGTGTCTCTTATTAGTTCTTTGAACATTAGTAGCTAGTGTCACTGTACAATTCAGAGTCTGAAGTGCCATTTATTTTATTATTTTTAAACACCTGGATTTGATAGGCTTGGAAGCAGAATCTGGATTCCTTGGGAGCATTAAGCAGTCCAATTAGGAAGTCAAGAAATTACCTGGATTGTCCAGGGAGTTTTAATAACTGCACCAAATTTAAGACAAACTGCTCCACTACTCCCTCTATAGGGGTTTCCTGAAGTTTATAACCACCTTTTACATATTAGCATCTTTATAGCTTGAAAAAGCAACACCACATTCCTTAAATACAACCAAGCCTTGTTATAACCCAGCAACAAAAGTATATGGCCATTGCTAGTGTAAAACAAGATATTTTAGAATCCCCTGATAAGAGGCTATTTCTGAAAGCTGGACAGAATAAGAAGGAAGGTGAGGATATGCTTCTAGCACAACTGTCCAGAGCTGTATTTTCTGGACACAAGTGGTAGATCTCACTCATTTCAGATATGGTAGATACAAAAATCTTTCAGAGCTGTGATAGTGTAGTGGCAGTCAGATTGCCACATATAACCCTTTTGGATCTGTGCATTTTATATCTCATAAAACGTTAACAATGTTAACCAGATCCACAAGGCAATCAGCTATTTTGCACTCTTCTGTTAAAGGAAGCAAGTTGAAGCAGGCCAGGTTCAACAACAATTTATGGCCAACACCTTGCATTTAAGGCTCCACAGTTCCTAGAGAAATGCAGAGAGACAGGACCTCTATCCAAATGGCATCAAGGAGATTATCTGCAATGGCACACTGCTGATAAAGTCAGGTCATTGTTCCAAGATAAGATCTTGTTTGTTCTCTCTCTTTCTCTCTCTCAGTACTTTACTGAGGGATTAGATCATTTTTTTACTGGGAGCTTAGACCAGGCATTAGGGTGACAGGACTGTGAGCTCATGGAATGGGGTGGGAAAGTTGTGTGCTTGGTGGTGGGATAAGAGAGGAGTTGAAAGAGATGCATACTCCAGACTTGGGCTTGGAGAGGGAGGGGTTCAAACAGCAGGTGTGCTGCTGGGTGACAGAAACCAAATGGCCAGTGCGGGAACTGGCTCTGTTTCACAAATCCCCTCCTCCCCTGGAGCACATGCTGTGAGTAGAGTGGAGTGTAAACAATGGGCTTTATCCCAATTTCATTTTGGTGGGCCCTGTACACACTGCCTTGGGAATGGCATCTCTCTGCTTAAGCAGCTCCTGTGTCTGTAGTAGCACAGCCACATGGTGGCAGCTGAGTTAAAGGCTCCAAAAATACTAGCATGGAGAACTGCGATTTATGCGATTTATGCACAGTGCCAGAAGCACATGGGGATGAAGTATCAACCACAAGCAACTATCTCCATCTCCACTCCCGAAATTTCAGCAACACCCCTGCCCCCAAAGCCACTATCAAAGAGCATCTGAGTAAGAGGTTTACAAGCAGAAGTCATTTCAACCGCTGATAAGGAAAATTCCATAGCTTCCCCCACAGAGAGAGTGGATTGTTTTACAGCAGGGAACAAGGGCAGCTGGAGACGCGGCCATATAACTTAATAGGATAGCCTGGGAGTGGTGGTGGTGGGAAGATGTTAGGCCTGAAGGCTGAGATGGTTTTACAGGCAGCATTAAATCCCTACAGTGAGTAATTAGGGATGAAGAAGAAAAGGCTATAAGGGAGATTTCAAAACAACAGCTCCTATCAAAATGTGCTGACTCAAAACAATGGGGGCAAAGGCGCGGTTCTGGTATGAGGCATGGCTCAATGGTATGTACAGTCACTGTCTACATGCCTTCCGGTAAAGGCAATTTCAACCTTGAGAACATTCAAGTCTCTCCCCCGCCCGCCTTTCTGAGAAAAAGCATCAGCCTCAGGCTATTAATGCCATCAGCTCTAAAACTACCATTCCGGATCTCCAAAGTCCTGAAGGTGCTAACTAAGACAGCAATGTGAATTCCTTATCAGAAAATCCACACGAGAAACACTGTTTGCCATTCCAAACCAATCTTATTCATACTGTATCTCCTTTCTGAGATATCCCCAGGTTCCTTCTCCTGCATGAGAATGAAAGGAAGAAATAGAGCATCTTGAAGAAGTGACCGAATCCTTTCATTTTCAAAGGCAGAAACTATGTGTATAAAAAGTAGTAATAAAGGATTCATAGAGTGCCTAGAGGACTCTTGATTCAGTCAGAGAGGCTCCTGATTGGGGATACTGGGGCTGGTTCAATGTCCATGGGTTGAAGATGGTAATGACTGAACAGTAACTTTATAGAAAATTATTCCTTGCTATATAGAAAATAATGTCTTAGGGTCTGGGTTGCCAAATTGGAAAGTTGCACTGGTGGAGTGGGGATACTGTTGAAGGGGAAAAGAAAAAGGCTTTGAGAGCGTGTCTGCTTTCTAAACTTTGAATGCATGGGCCTATCCATGTGTAAATTGCTTAAGCTGGAAAAGCCAAGCATGGTGATTTGGGCAATCATTATAGAGGTAAACGAGTTAGGAAAGCATTGTAAGGAACAGTGATCTTTTCTCTTATTTCATTAAGTTCAGAATCCTAACTCTTTCTTCTATGTTTGCTCCAAAAGGTTCTATTAATCCTGAAATCTGCAAGAATAAACATCAAAAACAGTTCCTCTCAGGAAGAAATAACCTGATACCAGAATTCTGTTCTTGTGAATGCCTGAAGAATGACACTATGCATAAAATGTTGCCCGGATTAAAACTGTATTTTCACAATTAGCGCAAAACACGTGAATAGCCAGATTCCTATTTATGAGCCTGTGAATTTGGATATGTTAAGAGGATGCCATTTAGAGAAACTATTTTGGGTTTACTCAATCTTTGGTGAGTGTTATAGAAGAAGCAGTAGGGGCGACCATATCTAGTACTCTTGGAGCCGGGCATAGCTTATAAAGTAAACCCCTAAGAAATCAGAAATAGATAAAATGAGAAGTAATGCATAAAGAGAGCACCCTTCACATGAGAATGCAAAGCTATGTAGAAAAGGTACTAAAATTTGCCAGAAGAGCAAGAAACTTGGCTAAAGAAAACACAGGAAGCTGCCATCTAGCTTAGTAGTGTTGACTGGCAGTGGCTCTCCAGGTTTTCAGGTAAGAAGACCCTTCCCCAACAGCCACATGCATTTCATAGCTATTTTGGTAAACAAAAACAAGGCTTACAATAGGCAGAAAACCAGAGAAAACATGTTTCCCATTCTTACTCAATTGAAGTTACCAAAGAGAACAAGGGATTCTCCTTACCACCCACAATCTCCTTGTAACAGCTTCCGCTTTTAGGATAAAACTCCTGTGCAGACATAGGCAGCATACCTTGAGCTAGCTAAATCAATGCTGGCCAACTGTGGGCCGCTATCAGAACACACTCAACTTCCCCCATAAAGGAAGGTAGGCCAAAGATTTCTACTAACGGAAAAAAATAAAATCAAGGCAAGTGTTCTCCTGCCACCACTTCAAGGATCACCAGAACTACCTGTGTCCACTATATTGCCACTTCCATGCTTACTGAACTCAGTAAATTTCTGAGCAGACGTATCCCAAAGCCAACAGGAAAAGTAACTGGGAGGCATATTCCAAAGAAGAAAGGCAGTGAGAGGATGAATGCAGACATGAATCAGTATCTATAAACTGGAAGAGCGGAGATAGGTTCATTTGTTTCTTTTTATAAAAAGGTGCACCAAAAGTTTCTGTTTTCTCCCCCTCCCCACTTTCACACAATTCTGCATCCTCATGACTCCTTGGACTGACCGGGCTTGGCCCCCAGGCATGCTGCTGCTAGGGGGCTAGCACTGGCTTCGGTCATGATGACTCTTCAAGTGCATTGACAACTTGCTCCAGGATGTCAGGGCAGTGATCGGCTATCTGCTGTAGAATGGCATTGGCAAACTCTTGTAGCTCTGCACTGTCCCTCTCGCCTTTTTCCAGCTCATTGTGAAGCTGCAAAAAAGAAAAGAAAAAGGACAGAATTGAGTAAACACATGTTTGTGTTTTAAAATGTCACACCAGCAATTAGTCCTTAGCCTGTCCTCCAAATGTATACCAAACAGGGGATCCCTATAGACCCAACCACACGCAAAATATAATGCCTGGCCTGGGGCAACCATATTGACAGGTGTTGCTTTCCAGTGAAGATTCATGCAAGCACACAGGAGATAAAAAAATGGACAGCATAGTTGCTGAATAGCGTTTTATTTGCTCGGAGCAGTTGCACCTGTAAGGGCACCTTGGATGGAATGTTTTAGAACATTTGAAAAGACATCTATTAATGCATAAACAAGCATCCCCTCCTTTTTACCGTACCTTTCCACAATAAAGGTCCACAAGCTGATTTACAGCACTACAAAAAAACCACCTAGTTTTCATCATCCCTTTGCATGTCTGAGTAAAGACCTTGATGATAAATTATGAAGCAAAAGAAAATTGGAGAGGTATAGAGAGATGGAGAGGAGGATTAAAAAGGGGGGGAACCCCAATGTATAAAGGGAAAAGTTCTTAACATATTGCCCACAAAAAGTTATCTTCTCAAAAATATCCTTGGGTTCCTAGTTCCTACCACATTACTGTATGGCCACTACCATCTCCCAGGCTATTTATTTTTAAAAGGTAATAGTTAACCTCACTCTGCAATTTTAATTCAATACAAACAATCCTGCCAGAAAGAAAATTGCCATGTGCAGATTCCAAATGTGTGCTAGATAAGATGCAAGTAAAGAGAACAAAAAGGTAGCTTTCAACATTTGAGGGAAGAATGATGAGATGTTTGCATGTGTAAATCTAGAGAGGACTCAGCTATATAGCTGCAAATGTTTTAAGCGTGTTTTAAGTGCATTATACAAATGTGAACTAAATGGCGATGGTGAGATTATGGCAAATTTGATATATTTTCCAAAATGTTTTTTGAAAAAAGCATTTTGACAGCATTTTTTATTTGTGTCTAGATTCCACCTGAGTCTACCAATAGACTGGGGAGACATGACTGAGAGCCCTGGTTTCCTTCCCCACTCCAAGCTATGATGAGAATTCTACGTATGCTGGTTTGTGGAAATGACCAAGGACAAGAGATAGTTAAGAGGTAATTTGAGAGTATAGGTGCTGACAGGTTCTTAGCATATATCACAGGAATAAAGAAACCACATTGTTTCAAGCAAGCAGCATAGCTGTGATCTATGTGACATCTTCAAACTGCATAGGACGGTGGCACTCTGTGCACTTTTGGTGGGTAGTTAACCCAAGGTATGTTCAACAGATTAAGCGGCATTCTTCTCTAAATCCATATTTCAAAAGAAGTCAAAAAACGGTCAGCACAATGTTTAATTGTAATGTATCTTAACTAAAAGCTCCCATGTACCAATACTGCTGTTTCCTAAGGCTCAGTGCATATTAAAAAATATATATATTATATATTTATTTATTTATACTCCACTATTTCCCCTCCCTTATTTATAAGGCAGCTTACAAATAAAATAAAAACAACTAAAAACACGGGGGGGAAACAGTAATTAAAAAAAATTAAATACTAATAGAATTAAAACAATTGTCATATATTTACATCTATTATATACATAAACAGGCTATCCCGTGGCTGGCCATTTAAAATCCTGCAAACAATTTCTGATCTCAACCCCCAATATCTCTCTTATCTTCCACAAGCATGGTATGCATTTTATTATAAATTGGTATGCAAGTATTGTGTACTTTAAAGCAGAGTGGACTGACTTCAGGATTGTGGGATCTACTTTTTAATGCTAGAATGCAGAGATCCTCCAACCAAAGACAAGCACAAAATAGCATCTAAGAGATGGAAGCCAGATGAATTAATGGTGACAAGCTAATTACCCACCGCACCTCCCCCATGATTGTGCAATTTATTAATGTATCTTAATAATTACAGCAACGTTATCACACAGGTCAGACAGCTCCCCCACCCCTCTTTTTGAGCAAAAAGCATTGGAGACTTTTACGTGAATATAAGCCATGTAAGCATTTAAGACCAGCAGCAACGATCCACCATCAATACCTCCCCCATTCCCCCCTCCTAGGAAGAAAAGCAACCAATCCTGAACTCACTGCTTACTGCTGCTACAACAGGAACAAAACATTTGGGCAACTTGGTAATATATATTTAAAGAGAAAAATAAGAAATGATCTCCTGTAAATGTACAAATGTAATATAGCATTGAAAGGCAAACTGAATGGGGTGGAGGACTAATCTGAACCAATAGAAATCTGCACTAAGAGGAAACCTGTGCATGTGCTATTTCAGAAATTAATTATATAAATTCTCCACGAGAAATCTGAAGACAGGAAGAATGGGATATGGGGCAAAAGTCACCCACAGAAGCATTAGTGAACAGGGAAAGATCTGTCCCTCCCTAGAAATGTAACCATGAAGTGAGGGGAATATCCTTATGAGCCACATCTGTGTCTGAGAAGGCATGAAAATATAATGTCAAGCTCTATAACATATTACTGTTACCTTTGAGGAGAGACTCAAAACCCAGAGATGGATTGGGAGTTTTGCTATACAGAGGTATTTCCTTAGAGACAGATGTGAATATTGTAATTACTTTTTGAAGAAACCGTTGTGTCTATGAATCATACCCATGTCTGAACATTTGTCAACATTTAATGAGAAGCAGTTCCCCTTTCCTAAACAAAATCATGCAAAATCATAATTCTCCCTACAATGATTTCCCCTCAGTGAAGAAACATGACGAAGTTCAACTATTTGAGAACGTAACTATTATTGAAGCCCAACTCATGAGGAAACCATGGTAGGATGGTGGTAGATTGTGTTTTTGTTTAATGATATATTGCTTGGTTTCTAGATAGTGCAACACCTGCAATTTTTTGAAATATTAAGTGGTTTATAAGTGGTAACAAACAAACAAACATAACTTCTGAGGGATCCAGGGGAATTTACAGGATAATACTCCCTCTCAGCCCAAAGTTTTGTCGCATAGGTGCTGACACCTGATTAAAGTTGGCTATTTTTAATTTTTTTAAAAGAAGGAATCAGCTGTGGGTGCAATTTGGTAGGGGGATCTTTTTGGCCTCAGGGATTCAATAGAGGACAGCACGGACTATTTCAAATCAATATGTGAAGACAGAAACAAATCCGAAATCCACTTCATGCATGGGATTGTATTTCAGACACATTTATCTTCAGAGACCTTTTCTTCTTTCAGATTATTGGACTTGCTTCTATTGGCCTTTTGGAATTTGGCTGCTGAAGTGCTTTCCCCCTCTTTTTTTTTGAAAATTGTTTTAAAGTTAAAAGTGCAAGGAGAAAAGTTCAAACATCAGAAAAGATGAAAACCAGGAAAGATATGTGTGTGAGAGAGAGAGAGGTAGAGGGAGGGAGAGAGAAACAGAAACACACCAGGCTATAGAAACCAGATTATTGCTGTTGGTACAGAATTAATGTCCAGTAGTTTATGCCTTTTTGGTGGTACACGAGTACTGGATATATTCCAGGTTTGCATATAATAGTATGAATCATGAAAGAAAAAGTCTCAAGCTCACGGATGAAATAAACTTTCCTTTGGTACAATAATTTAATTTCAGTAAAATGTACAACAGGTTAATCTGGATACAATGATTTAAACATTTCATCTCGTTGCAAACAAAGCCAGTGAGGCAGAGTGGAAGAAAATTAGATAAGGAATTCAATTTTGATGAAGATAGCAGCAAGAACTGATGAAAGGTACTACTGCACAGGCTGACAAGGGAAAGGATGATAAATTGAATGACTACACAAAGAAGAGGGGTAAATGTTTGGGATAGAAATGAGTATTAGTAGAAAGGCTGGAGATACTATGGGACAGAGATTTTGCTGTACAATATACGTAATGGAAGAATTAACAGAATTAAACAAGTGCTTTGCCTGAGAAGAGTGAAAACTGGGCAATGATTATGATGTGAAAGAGGGCACATAAAATGTTATTTCCAAGTATACAAGTAAAACATCTATTTACATATGTCTGTTCCAATGTGAGCAATACAGAAACACACACGACAAATACTTCAGTGCATTTGCACTCTTGGCTAGGCACTTAATCTACTCCAGCTGTTTTAGTAAGCAAAATGAGGAGCTAGAATAATGAGAGCTTTGTGTAAACAGTAACTCTGAAGAGGTACCAAACCAGGTCAGGAGCTTCAAGGTAATGAGTTAAAGTAAAAAGAATGTGGGGGTGAAATTGACTTTCATGTTTGTAACTTGCTAAAGGAAATTTAAAAATCAGATCTATGCTCCCTGGTGAGCTAAATACTTAGTTGCCTAGCAATTATCAGGAGGAGGAAGAAAGAAAAATCAAAGTATGACATTTCTAGCAGCAAAGTACATTATGTGTGTGGCTAAGTTTAGGACTTATGTCCATACTTCAAGTCCCAAACAAATGGCCACCTTTTCCAAATCATTCATCCATAAAAACATCAGGAAATTGTGCCATTTTGGCCACAATCCAAACAACACAGAACTAGGTGTGCTTAAATCCACCAATCTCAGTGAGTTTAAGAATGTCTAGATTTCTGTTGGATTGTAGCCTATACAGCAATATAGGAGCATAACTATGCTTCATTTAAACAACACAAGCACAACTCCAGGTCAACTAGCTATAAAAAATTAGTAGATATTAGAGTAAATTTCAAGCAGTGAAGTCAAGCACAACTTTATAACATTATGTCAAGCAAAATATCTTCAAAGCAGCCCCGATCTACTTAGTGTGTAATCAAGGCAAAGAAATAAAAAATCTCATTCCAGAGAATTCAAGGGGATATTTTCTCGTAACACTTTAATAGTCAAGATTATAGAGATCTCCAGTATCCACCTTGGAAGACAGCAAGGTGTGTGTTTTTGTTTTTATTTGATTTTCTCATTCAGACATAATGCTAAATTATGTTTATCAGATGCCCTCTCCCCTCCTCCGGTGCAGCAGGTGGCGATTGGAAGCTTTCATTTATTTTCATTTTTAAAAAACCTCTAACCTAAATTTAGTGTTATGTCCAAATCCAAACTGTGGCTAAATAAATAAGCTAATATTTACCAGTTTAGGATTTGGACTTTAAACTGTGGTTAACTGAAAACAGAAGGGAAAGTTTCCCCTCTTCTCCTTAGGGCTGCACTGGAGGAGGGAAAGGAGGAGTCTACAAAGGTCATGCATACAACATTAAATCATAGCTTAGCATTACATCTGAATCAAACCATTACGTTTTCTTTGGTTCAGAGATGCAGAAACTTCTACCTTGAAAATTCAGTGGGAAAATCAGCCTTGATGATTTTCCAAGTGTCAAGTTTTTACTGCTATTGTTGCCGTTCCGTTGTTGCTGTTGCTATTCTTTAAATATGAACACCAACTAGAAGTCTGCATTCTAAATTGAAAAATTTAAAGATTCCAAATGTTTCAACAAGAGGGAAATAATAAGTTATTATTGTCTTGTTAAAAGACAAAACGTGTTAGGAAAAATCAGAGACAGGCTTTCATCTGCTTAATACTGAACTTGATGTCCCCATACCGGCAGTATTGGAGCCAAAAGAGCGCAGCTAAGAACCAAGAAGAAGCATTAACATACTTTCAGGAACCTCAGGTTCTGCAGAAGTGCAAAACAAATAATAAATCCAACCCCAACAAAACTCTCAAAGGTGACAGTCCCCCAACATCCCAATGAGGACTGAGTGTGATCAGTAGTTATCAGGAGCCACAAAATATTAAATATCATTTGGAAAAGAAAAACTAGAATCGGAAGGAGAGAAAGAGATGACCAACTTGAATTTCATAGTTTATACTATCCTAGAAGAAGGCATGGCAGGGTTGCTGGAAGCCTGAACTTAAGAGGAGTCCTGCTACATCAGACTACAGAATCCCGTTTTCCACATTGACCAACAAGATACCTAGGGGAAGCCCAGAAGCAAGACAAGGGGGACAGTAGGCCCCTCCTCCTGCTGCTGTTATCCAGTGACTGGCATTCAGACACATTATGTCTTGGTATGGCTATATATGGCTAGTAGTCACAGGTAGTCTTATCCTTCATGAATCTGTTTAAGCCCCCTTTTAAAGCTGTCCAATTTGGTGGCTTCTTGTGAAAGCTAATTTTCTAACTGGACATTGTATGAGCAAGTGTCCATCTCAAACCTCCCAACATTCAGCTTCACTGTATGATCCCAGGTTCTGGTGCTATGGAAGAAGAAGAAAATGTACTTCTATCCACTTTCTCTGCATCATATACAATTTAATACACCCTTTATCATCTGAACTAAATAGCCCCATATTGTTATATATGAGAAGTTCCTTCACCTGCTCCAGAGTCATCTTCTGCAGCTCCTTCTCCCAAGCTGCACGGTTGTCATCCTGGTGGTAGGAAGCAGGCGGGGTGAGTCCACGGAGAATCAGGGGGTCCCGGTCATGGCACAGGGCTGTCAAATGTCCAATATACAACTTCAACTTGCTGCGATTCTGATCAAGGTCTAAAAGGGGCTGAATTACCTAAAATAAAAGAATGCAAGTCAATCATAATCTGACAAATACATAAGCAAATGGGACATTTACTTAATTATAACATAGAAAACTGGAGGTAAGCTAAGAGGAGTAACCAAATTCTCTCTACGTAAAAATATAATTGCATGGTGGGGTAGGGGAGATAGGAAGAGAACGTGTGAATCCAGTCATGAGAAGAGTTGCATATAATTCTGTTTGTTTCACCTGAAAGGGCCCCCCCTAAGCAAATTAACAGATTTCAAGAAAAAAGTTTCTCTGCTATACATTTAAATACTAATTTAAAATGTTTTGCAGATTTATTTAATTATATCAGGTGCTTCCTTCTAAAAGAGCACAGGGATTTGAAAGTAATAATTGGAGAATGGAAAATTGAGAGTGTGAACATTCTGTTGATTACAACCAATTAAACACTGAGGAATAAGAAAGAGAATCTCTAACAACAGAAACAAGGTACAAGGCCTGCATCAGCAATGGTTGCCTGTGGTGAAGTTTTAGCTGTCAAAATGTTCACATCCAGGCAAAATCTGTGGCTGCACCTTCTGCTTGTCAGCAGGCATAAGGTATCTTTCCAACCATACCCTCTAACTCTGCTAATGAACACAGAAGTGTGATAATCTCCCAGTCAACAGAAACAGGTGCTGGTACTACTTTCAACATTGTCCTGCATACACAACTGTTCTGGCTCCTTTGCTATGTTTCCAACACTCTTTGAATGGATTAATGGTCGTGCAATAGGAGGAGCTGAAAGCTACAGATTAGTGGTGTCAAAATCCCTTCCCCAGTAAGACTGTAGAACCCTGTTTATAGCACATTAGGATTAACATTTTAGCACTGTAAAAAGAAACAGCATGGAATATTACTTCTGTTACAGGGAATTTAAAATTAAAAAGGCAATGCTGTAAGACTGTAAGGGCTACAGGACTGGAAAGATGTTGAGGATGATAGGCAAAAATATGGAAAGGAAATAAATTTTCATTGACACAATGCTTGTGGTTGGCTGCAGACAATAGTAGTAATATTGGCTACAAGACTTCTCAAAAACCCCTCAAGTTAGCAGGCCTGCAGTATAACTGATAAGTAAAACTATGTCCCACCCAGAAAGATAAGAACACTACAAAGGAGAAATAATTCATTAGCAACACCATTATTCTTTAAAGTTCGCTGCAAAATGCAAGTGTGTTTTGTTGTACACCCATTGTTAAAGCTCCTGTAATTTAACCCCCCCCCCAATGGAAGCCCTATATCAGCAGTTCTCAATTTACTTGAGTGCTGGAACTGGTAACTTGAAAGCAATATACGGAGTGGTCTGGTAATGTTTATTTTCTTGTGTTTACAACAGAATGAATTCAAAAAGTCATTCTTATCCCAAGAATCTTTATCATCACATCAGTTTTTGCCTATCATCCAGGCCATCTTTCCCCAGTTACAAATGTGTAATTTTTGCATGACACAGGATTTTAAGGAGCCTGACCTCTGAATGTGACAGGGAAGGAAGTGAAAAATCTTCACCCTTTACTCCAGAAATGTATTACATGCCTTTCCCTTCGTTTGAAGCAGCTGATTTACATGATTTAGCACGCCTAAAATTCATACAAACGGGTGGCTGACTGGAAAAGTTCTACAATCATGGGTTTGATAGTTGTATAATTCTTTTTACCAGTTCTAAATTCTAAAAAGCATACATCAGATTAGGGCTGAGACCAGTGTTGGCCCGTCTTGGGTTGATATAAAATTCAGAATTCACTTTTAAAATAGGGAAACAAAAGTCAAGAATGTAGAACTAGGATGAAGCATTGTTTGGTTGAGAACACAGTATTCTTTCCACAGAGATAGCTATAAAATATTATGTATGTTAAGGCTGCATGTTCTAATACAGTAGACATGTCTTCTGGTCATCTTTAGGTAGAAAGGAAACTAACAGTATCCTTTGAAATAGTAGCATTATCATTATCCAACTGAATATGAATGCTTGCTGAACTAGTTCCTTTCTGATGCCACTCTGTACTGTATAATGTTGGTCCTGTATGATGATTGTTGTTGTTTAGTCATTTAGTCGTATCCGACTCTTCGTGATCCCATGGACCAGAGCACGCCAGGCACTCCTGTCTTCCACTGCCTCCTGCAGTTTAGTCAAACTCATGCTGGTAGCTTTGAGAACACTATCCAACCATCTCATCCTCTGTCGTCCCCTTCTCCTTGTGCCCTCTATCTTTCCCAACATCAGGGTCTTTTCCAGGGAGTCTTCTCTTCTCATGAGGTGGCCAAAGTATTGGAGTCTCAGCTTCAGGATCTGTCCTTCCAGTGAGCACTCAGGGCTGATTTCCTTCAGAATGGATAGGTTTGATCTTCTTGCAGTCCATGGGACTCTCAAGAGTCTCCTCCAGCACCAGAATTCAAAAGCATCAATTCTTCGGCGATCAGCCTTCTTTATGGTTCAGCTCTCACTTCCATACTGGGAAAACCATAGCTGTATGATGATACCGGCCCCTTTTCCTTTAGTATAAACTACCTAAATTATGGGAACAGAACCCATTAAGTTGGAAACAAGATCATTTTATCCATGGATAAGCCACTTGCTGAAAGCACCCTAATTTGATTACTGCTGCTTATTTTGTAAAGGGCTGATCCTGCCCTCTTGGAGAATAGTAAAGCTCACAGAGGAGTTCATTTCTTTCCCTTGGGATGCATTAACTCCACCAGTAAGTACCGTGCTTATCTCTATGTTTCTCCCACATCTAATTTGAGCTGGCCACTTAGCAAGAGTCACAGTGCTTCCCGCAATTGCAGAGCTTATCTTAAGAGGATGCAAAAAGCACCTGCCAAGCAGAAAGGCAGAGCTGGACAGGACTGATGAGCTAGGTTGCAAGTCTCTGAGCAATCTGAATGCTTTCTACAGCTTATCCAAGATATGGGAATATTTTCTAAAACAGCTTTTCTTTATTAACAAGAGATATTCTGACCATCCCTTTCTTTGCCCAAGCTAGTGGTATTCATTCAATGTCCAGTTTAACACATGTAAAGCACAATAAAACCTGTCAAACATGACATAATAAGTGCATTTGAAAATACTGGCACAATGTACCGAGTGAATTTATTTAATAACCATAAACAGAAGTTGGCTCAATACAAAATGGTTATTTTCATTGCAATGCTGAACACTGGGCCAACTAGTAGTATTTATTAACTCTATTAAAATGCAGGTTGGATTGAGGAACAAAAATTTCACTTTGACTAACTTCCATCAGAAAAAAGATCGCTCAAATACACTATAATAAAGTAAGAAAGAATAAAAACAATACAGTTAAAGAGTAAGACTAATTAAAAACAGGTGACCAGAGATTTCTTTGTACCCCAAAGAGTGAGCAAAACTTCTACAGGAGTGTCAGTCATGGCAACAATAAACTCCCCATGGCAATCTGGAATCCTTCAGGCATTATAAGCTTCTGACAGCAGACTATCTTAATAGGTCTAACCACCCCCAAAGAGGAAAATGGGTGCTGAAAGTCAAAACCTCAACATGAAGTGGTGTGACCACCACTTGATGAAAAATCCCCTACAATCAAACCCACATTTCTGCCTAGTCGACACATAGTTTTGGTTGTGCCAATGGCATTTTGTTATAGCCCCGATGGCTTTTGTGGCGGTCAAAATCCTACATTGTCTCAAACCAGGAAACCTTGATGTGAATATTGAGGTTCCCAAGAGAGCAAGCCAAGGGCCCCTCAACTCCAAATCTGAGACAGTCTCCATCAGCCCAGGCAGATAAACTGTCAAAACAGAACATCAACAGAATCCCAATCTGTCCCTTGTGCCCCAACACCTGGTACAAACAGTCAAAATGTGGGCTGGGCTGGGCATGGATCCTGGGAAGGGAATCTCTAATAGCTATATTGATTCTCCCTATTCACAGGGGAAAAGGAAAATACAAGAACATCCTTAAAAACTACGATCCATTTCCATTGCAAGTTCTGAATCTTTTGGAAGAATCCACTGCAGAACCTCAACAAGAGGTTCAAAACCAACAGCAGTCACTTCCCCAGATGACTTTTCCTCCCTGCCCATAACGTTTCAACAGAAACCACTGTAAGGAATTTTGGCTGCATTGACAGTCCCATCTCTTCTGGTTTCATTTCTGCCAGAGTCAATCAGGAAATCATATTTATAAAGCAAATTCTTTCTGAAATTTTAATACACCATGAACAAATCCCATGGATTAATGATTTCCAGAGCTCACCGCCTTCACCTTGGGAACTAGCCAAACTTTGGGGGAGAAGAAAAAAAACCTGGGGAAAGATACAAAAGAATGAACACTGCTTTCTCTATTGACACTCCCAGAAACAGCTTCCAAAGAGACTATGAAAAAGCTTGCATTATATCATCACATTTTTTTTAAAAAAAGAATGTGAATTAATGTACTCTTCTATAGATATCTGTCCACATCACAGAACTGCCCCAACTGGCAGTCTACTTACAAAATGTTTCTGATCTTCACAACCAAATTCAGCACAGTGGAACAATGTTTTAAGACTGAGATGCTTTGATGAAGATGGAAAACTGAATGTGCACTTGGCTGAATTCAGACACCATAATTTTAAAGAATTTCCAAGATGACTGAAATTTAAACTGGGACTAGAACAAGACTACTATTACCATGCCCCCTGCCTTTTGCTCCACTTCTCTGAAAGTGGCCTGATCTCAAAAGTGGTTTGGCACCTGCCTAAGTGAAGCAAAACAGAACTGCCCTATACAGACTGAAGGGCAGATCATGGGAACATCAAATGTTTTTAATGTGTCAGCATTTTCTCCACTGTCAAAATGTTTTGGAAACTGGCAGTAAACTAATATGGTTTTTAAACAAAGTCATTTTTGGATATGAGTGGAGGAGAGGAATCTCTTGATGACAGTAATGAGGTGGCTTCATATTGTTCAATGTGTTATGAACCACAAAGTCTGGGACTCAGTTCTTCTAAGATGTGTCAGATACTGTG